GGACAGTAATGAAAAAGTACTCAACCTGAAACAAAATTATGAAAATATACTAGGCTTTGAAGAAAAGAAAATGCAAGACATGGCAATAAATTATTGCTTCATAAGCCAGAGAGCACACAAAAATCAAGCCATTTCCATAGGAATTTTTTAGCTTAACTACAACCAGTCTCTAAGAATGTACTGCTACCCAATCTACTTGCCACCTCCACCTCTGGGCAGCTGGCAAATGTCTGAGACAATCTTCTCTCCTCTTAACCTTAGCCTGCACTCTCCTTCCTCAGAAGAACACCAACTTCAGCAACGACAAAAAGGTTTTGAAAACAAGTTTACTTGGCAGTTGTCTTTGTCTAGTTCCTAAGGCTCAGGAGAAGAAATGGGTTTAGGGCATCCCTGAGGGGGAAAAAAAAAAAAAAAAAAAAAAAAAAAAAAAATTTTAAAAAAAAAAAACAGAAAGCCAAAAAATAAAGGGAAGTCACATGTATGTCTATAGTTCCAGCTACTCTGAAAGGCTGAGGGAGGAGTTTGAGGCCATCCTTAGTAAGCTAAGCCCACAAAAAAAAAAAAAAAAAAAAAAAATGTCTATGTGTACATGCAGGAGAAGGGTGGGATATTGATGGTATATAGAAATATACATATTATATATATTCACAAACCAGTAAAAAAATACATAATAGAGATGAACACACTATACATATATCCTACATGTTAATTCTATGTATATATAGAGTGATCTTAGTAGCAGAAATGACACTTAGATCAGACAAAAAATATCTTGAAGAATTATGTTTCCTAGCATTAAAAAACATTCGATATCATACAGCAACACTTACACATTTGATATTATATAGCAACACTCACATCACATAGCTAAAGGGGGATCTTTGCTGACAAAAGCATTGATAGGTATTACAAACAGGAACTTGCCAAACAGACTATGTTTTAAACACTGTCACCTACATTCCATATGCTAAGCAATGCAGGGGATTTTTAACACCCCAACACACTGCTACTGCAACACCATAGCTAACGTGTTCTAAATCTTAAACAGCATCTTGGCCTTTGCTCTAGGGGTCAGTTTTAAACTTATAATGGTATTTGAGGTCTTCCAAAATTTCACTCTATTCCACAACGAACCTGTGAATCCAGATATTCCATCTCCTCATGACTCAGTGCCCAGTTTTCTTATTTATTTTTGTTTTGTTTTGTTCTGTTTTTTTGAGACAGAGTTTCTCTGTGCAGTCCTGGTTGCCTTGGAATCACTCTGTAAGCCAGGCTGGCCTCAAACTCAGAGATCCACCTGCCTCTGACTTCCAGAGTGCTGGTATTAAATGGTGCACCCCCTCACACCTGGCTAGTGGTCAGTTTTCTAATGACTCCCCTCTACCATTATGGCTGCCCTGAGTAAAAAAATCATTAGGTCCTCTTTATTTGGGCATGTCATATAACCTAAGGGTGACTGAAATTAACACAAGTACATACAGGATAAAAGAGTAACTACATTCATCTAGAAAGCCATAAGAGAAATACAACTTTCACTGACTGTTCTCCCAAGGCAAAGAGAGAGGGGGGGGGGGAAGGAAAGAAAAAGAAAGAAAGAAAGAAAGAAAGAAAGAAAGAAAGAACAAAAACAAGCATGTGTGTTTCTCAAATGCTCAAAAATTCATTAATAGCTACAGTTTCCCACACATACTTCCTGAAAGAGCAGTCAGACACTAGTTTCCGGTGTGGATCTCCAGAAAGAGATAAGCACCATCAGCACATCATTCAAGTGTCTAGGCCAACACTAGACAGGAAAGCATGAGAACACCCGACTGGCTCACCAACCTCTGGACTCCACTCCTGAAGAGGAAATAGAGCAGGTCTGAAGAGAAGTAGACTCAAATTAATGTTACCAAGCAACCAGAGAACCACAACAACAAGAAAATGTAGATGAAAGAGACAGTCATTATGAAGAAATCCTACTCCTAACTTCCACTGCTCACCATCTACTAGGATGTTATGAATTACACCCAGTGAGCCATTGGTACAGAACATCTACTGCAAAGTACCATCAGGAGCTCTACTCCACTGCTAGAATGCCGATTTATGATTCACTGTCCTCAAAAGTTGTCCTTGAAATAGCACATTAAACAATCCCTTATTAAAGAAGAACACAAACTAATACTCTCATAGAATTACAAGACTCTTAATGGTTACCCAAGAAATTTCATTCTTGGTAAACTAAAGGACTATGATTCCGCTTTTAAGCCTGGGTAACTACCTCAGCTCTGTTTTGGGCAACACAACAAACTGATTCCCTGTCAGCAACAGAATCAATCATAGAAGACTACCAGTTACACTTTTACTTTGTAAATTGTAAAATGAGACCACAGAGCTAATAAATATACACTAAAAATTAAGATAGTGGTGTGCAGGAGGTAAGCACATAGGAGCAAACTTCAAATCAGTGTGCCTGTAATACAGACAATTCCAAAAGAGGAGCAAAGAAAGAGTAGCAAGTAAACAAACAGATAACCCAAACTTAGGAGGTAGAATACAGTCACATGCATTGGCACTATGAAAATAATGTGTGCAAATTCACCAGTTAAAAGACAGACTATAATTTTAGAACAAGTCATTTCAGTCTTTAAAAAAATAGCAGAAGGTGGAGAAGGCAATTCCTAACCAAAATAAAGCCACTATAGTAATACTAGTATCAAATAAAATGAATTTAAAGTACAACACAGCAATAAGAAAAACTATGCAAAGAATATATTCTTTATATTCTTTACAGCCTAATAATGTAGCCTAAGATTTTAGAAAATAAAAATCTACAGGAATACTAAGGCAAATTATCAAAGTGACCATTTACAGAGTCAAAGCAGTTAAACAGTACAGAACAGACTTAATCTGATCAAGGACAGATCCAAAACGTTATATAAAGAAAAGAATGCCATGCTTACCAAACTCAGAGAGCTTTGCTGACTCGCTTCCAAGAAAGTCCTAACTACAAGAGAACCTCTACTGTAGACCACATTCTAAGCACAATGTAACAAAAAACTGGGAATCTGAAAAAATTCTCTTCCCACAACACATCCATGTGTATACTCATGCACACATTTAAAATTTTAAATCATACCTATGAAAAATTCCAAAGGGAAGTAAAATGCTACAAAACAGAAAAGAAATAAAAGAAACAATAAATAAAACTTGGCTGTTGGTTTGGAGAAAAAAATTAAAGCAGTCAATTTACAACAAAAATATAATCAAGAAAAAATAAAAAAAGAACATTCTTTGTGTTGGTTCTGTATCCTAACACTTTGCTGAAGGTGCTTGTCTGCTACAGAAGTATCCTGGTGGAGGTTTTAGGGTCGTTTATGTATAAAAACTTATCATCTATAAAAACAAAGATACTTTAACTTCTTCCTTTCCTATTTGCACCTTGATCTCCTTCAGTTGCCATATTGCTCTAGCTAAAACTTAAAGCATGAGACTAAAGAGGAAGGAGAGAGTAGACATCCCTGTCTTATTCCTGGTTTTAGCGGATATGCTCTCATTTTCTCTCTGTTTAAGTTGATGTTGGCAGCCTGAGTCTGTCTCTAAACATGTCAAAGAGGTGGAGCCTATTAAGTCATGAGGGTTCCACCTTCATGAATGACCTTAGTGCCTTCATACAAAAGGTGAAGGAGATACTGGGATCCTTCGACCATGCAGGAGCAGCTTCACTCATTGCAGAAAGGTGCCATCTTGGAAAAAGAAGGCAGCTCCTCCTCAGATGCTGATCTACTGACACCGTGACCATATATTTCTCAGGCTAAGCCAGTGGTTCTCAACCTTCCTAATGCTGTGACCCTGTAATACAGTCCCTCAAGTTGTGCTGATCCCCAACCATAAAATTATCTCACTGCTACTTCATAACTGTAATTTTTTTTACTGTTATGAATCATACCATAAATATCTGATATGCAGGATATCTGGTATGTGACCCTCAAAGGGGTCACAACCGCCAAGTTGAGAACCACTGGAATCTATTCTTTAAAAATTACCTTTCCTAAAGTATTTTGTTATAACACCAAGAACCAATTAAGACAAGGACTTTTAATTCTTTACTACTCTATTTTTGAAATGCCTCAAGTACTGAAACAATTACACACACAGTGAGTAGAAGATCAAGACAGTATATACAAAGATAAAGAACTATAAATGCTTACCGGTGTCCTCGCCTGGCAATATAATCTATTCAAATACAATAAATCTGTTGTTCAAGTAGATAGCAACACGCTTTTGTCAAGCTGCTAAAATATGAATGCCAGGAATTTGGTGTAATTCTTTTAACAGTTTTAACAGAAAACTAAAGGAAAGCTTAGTCCACATTTTAAGTTCACAAATTCTAGCACTAAGGTACTAACTAAAGCTGCAAGCTGGCACCTCCACCGCCTGGCAGCTACTGAGTCTAAGCCTTTATATTTCCACTGTAATGTTGAGAATGGAGTCTTACATGAAACACAGTTCAGTGGACATTAACTATTAGTGAGTGGCATGTGAGCAAATGTCACTGTGAAAAGAAATAGGCAAACAGAAACCCTAAGGAGCTAGTGCCAATAAGTTACCTATTTTACAAATCATAGGTAAATGAAACAAAATGGATGATCTAGGTTTGTATCATCCTTTCTCAGGATGTGCACTGCTACAATTTTATTATTCTAAAAATCACCTTACAACTACCATTTCTCAAGTAAGACGTCCTACAGAGGTGGCAGTCAGAACAGACTGTTCACAACAGACGCATACCACACAGCAGTGAGTGACACAGCACACCATCATCCCTGCCCAACACTGATGAACAAATGCTGTTCCAAATGGAAATGACGACTCTTCTACATGGTTGCCACTGTGTTTAAAACCAAGTAAATAAGCCGGCCAATAGGAACTTGGTGTAATAAGAAACATGTCCCATGTGCCACACACCAACAGATCACTTTCCACCCATTGAGAGCACTCTCTGCTCAGCCCCAACTCACCTCAAGGTCACAGCTATATTCAGTGCCATCCAGGAGGGTCACTTTGGCCAGGACAGTCTTGGTCTTCTTGGTAGCTTTCTGAGAGGCCACCTCTGCTTTCAGCTCACTGGTCTGCACTTCCTTGGTCTCCCTCTTGGCCGTCTCTCCTTCCAGTTTGTCTTCCTGTACTTCCTTTATCTTTTCCTCCTCTCTGTCCTTCCTCACTCCTTCAGCAGGCTACCAAGGAAAAACTTAAGCTCACATTAAAGGTAACTGACTTGTAGAAGACAACATAGAAAAAAGAAATCAGGCCAGGAGGCGGTAGCGCATGCCTTTAATCCCAGCACTCAGGAGGCAGATGCAGGCAGATCTGTAAGTTCAAGGCCAGCCTGGCCTACAGAGTGAGTTCTAGGACAGGCTCCAAAGCCCCAGAGAAACCCTGTCTTCCAGGGTTCTAAATGTGGTAGGCAAGCTCTGCAGCCACATCCTCAGCCTCAAAGAGAATCTTTAATGAGAATTATGATGGACTTTAAATTTAAGCCTTTTTAAAAAAAGATTTTGTTTATTTATTATGCATACAACATTCTGCTTCCATGTATATCTGCACACCAGAAGAGGTCACCAGATTTCTTAACAGATGGTTGTTAGCCACCATGTGGTTGCTGGGAATTGAACTCAGGACCTCTGGAAGAATAGCCACTGCTCTTAACCTCTGAGCCATCTCTCCAGCCCCAAATTTAAGCCTTTTAAGACTCAAAAATTATGAAAGAAAAGGTATTTTCTATCCTTCATTTTGCCAGGTTCGTGATCTGAGCAATAAATGAATAAAAGAGACTATACTAAAAATAGCATTCAGATAACAAAATCTCTAAAACCTTAAACCACAGCAAAACCTAGGTTTCCACAGGCAAACAAAACATACACAATCCACTACTTTCAACTCAATACATAATAAAAGCAAAGATAAATAAAAGTGTAAGAATTTAACAGAAAGGTGGGAGGGTCTGGCAGACTGCTCAACCTCATCAGAAACATGGGAACTTAAGAGTGTGTGTGTGTTCTGTTGCTGTGGTGGTGTTCTTTTGCTTTGTTGTTTGGGGAATAATTTTAAAAAGAATCAAAGGGAAGACTAATGTACAACAGTCCAAGTTCTATATTCCAGATACATTAGGTTGAGGCAGTATCTGGACACAGAATCGGGAAGGGATTTAAAAGAAGTCAACCCCTTTCCCTGGGTGGCTGGCTCTGTTCCCATTCCCAGTCTTCTCAAACGCACCTGGGTATCAGCAGTAGTTTTCAAGGAAGGCTGTTCTTCCCTGACCTCCACCTTAACCTCAAGGTGTTTCCTCTGAGCCATTTCTTCTGCATCGCCCTTGGCCCGACTCTCTTCTTCAGGAATGGAATCCTCTTTATCCAAGATCTGTTCTTCCACATCGGCTTGGGTAGGCTCTTTTTTATCTCCTCCATCTTTGGCTACTACTAAGGTGTAAGACTTCTGCTTCTTAAGCCATGGGGGTATGAACCGAGAGATGCCCCTACTCTCAGACGGGTCCTTCACTCTTTTCCGACGGCGGGGACTACTTTGGCTTTCAACTGCAGGACCCGGCTGGGAACCTTTTCCCTCCTCAGGCTCAGATAACTGATTCTGCTCATTTTCTGTTACTTCTTTAGCTTTCTCCTTAGGTGTATCTGCTCCTGCCTGGTCAGAGCCCTTCTTCACTTCAGATGCAGAGCCGACTTCAGTAGTCATGGTTACAGCTTATACTGCAACAAAATAAAAACCACAAAAAATAGTATCTTAGAAACTTTCACACTTTCAATGTAGTGGCAAAGAGACAAAAGGAGTGAGACAGGGTGGGAAGTGCAATGACAGAGAAGAGGAAGAAGGCGGTGTTAAGGAGGAAAGCTCAGAAGCAGAAGACAAACTGAAGGTTGCTCTGTTAGAACTCTCAAATCACACATCACAATGGAGTAACTGTACAGTCGGAACTCAAAATCCCCCAGGCTCAAGCCATAGTGAGTACTTCTACTTGAACTAGTTATGCAACAGCTAACACAAAGATTAATGTTTAAGGATTCTTTTTACTCTCAGCTTTTAGTCTGTATTAAGAAAATGTCAGCAGTATTAGCAAGTATTGAGACACACTGCACTACAATTTCACACATTGAAACCAAAATCTGTAGAAATGTTAAGATAGTATAAGATCCAATTTTAAATGCTGGATGCTCAGCAACAATAAACAGCATACTGAAACAGAATTGTATTGTTGCTTGGCTGTCCAGTGATAATCCTGTGATTCACCAGCACTATTCTAAAAGCTAAGCTTCTCAGAAAATGCTTAAAGCCAAAAACAAGACTCCAAGTCTCCACCCTACCCAATCTCAAACGCTGTGTGTGTGTGTGTGTGTGTGTGTCTAAAATAAAGGTCCTAATCAGAACTAAATATATTATAGAACAGAAAATAACACCTAACGATTTATTCTATCACAACTAATGAAAGAAAATTTAAATTAAATCTAAAGATAACTACGAGTCTAAATTTTATACAAGCAAAGAGGAACTTCTCAAGTACAGCAAACCTAGTCCACAAAGACTCGGGTAGGGATGGGACCAGCTCATGCTCCTCTGCTCCCTCCCTTTCCCAGCACAGCTCTCCCAGAGTATGTTCCCAATGCTGGCACCCTAGCCAATGGGTAATGTCACAGCTAACTTTTAAATGGTACAAACATTAACATAGTTTTAAAAGAAAAACTACAATATAAGTGGCGCTTTTAAAGCACACTATGTCAATACAGTAGAATGCTGCTGTTTAGTCTTAAGAAGAAAGCCTGAAATTGGGGGGTTCTTGAGGTCAAGAACTTTAACTAATATTCTGATAAGATAATTGTTTCAACAGCCCAACCTGACTATAATGTATAAAATGAAAGCCAGCAGCAGGAAGCTATCTGGGGGATGGCTGCAGTAATCCAGGCATAATTCTTTACTAAGGCCAAAGCAATCAAGGGAGCGTGTAAGAACTGAATCTTGTGAGAAAGGCAGAGGCCATCCTGAACATGGAAAGAGAAAACAATCTCGGGACTTCATGGGATACTGGGGAAGGTTATCCATGGAAATAGGGTATTCAGGAAAGATGGGCCTAGCCAAAACACATAACTTGGTTTTAAATTTGCTGTGATTGACAGGTTTGTGGAGGTATCTAGCTGGCCAATAGAGAAAACAGGCTTTAAAAGAGACTAGATGTGCTCTAGAGATGCTATCTGTGAGCTGTGGTCACATGGACAGATAGCTGCAAGCAAGAGTGATAACAGTATTACCTTGGAAAGCAGTTTTGTTCAGTATTAGAGGATTCTGCAAAGAATCCTTACTACCACCTCATACAAGGAAGAGACAGGAAAAGGCATGTCAGCCAGAAGAAACACATATGGCAAGATCAAAGGACAGTAATATGTTTGAAACCAGTACTACGAAAAAGGGAATAGTTAACTATCAGACCCACACATGACTTCCTATTCTTAGGTATTTACAATTCAAAATGCTTATCAACAAGAACACAGCTGGATCTATACTGCACAGAAACATGTTTTTTCTTTCCCATGTCTTTTTCCACAAACCCATTTAAGAATATTATGTACAAGTCAGGCGGTGGTGGTGGTGGTGCATGCCTTTAATCCCAGAACTCAGGAGGCAGAGGCAGGCGGATCTCTGTGAGTTTGAGAACAGCCTGGTCTAGAAGAGCTAGTTCTAGGATAGCCTCCAAAGCCACAGAGAAACCCTGTCTGGAAACCCTCCCCCCCAAAAAAGAGGAAGAATATTGTATACATTAGTCATGTAAAATCCAAAGTTGGTTTCTAGCATATACTTTGTAATTACATCCTGAGAGCTGAATAACTACCTAGGAAAAGTTAAAAGAAAAATGTCCCACATTTATATAAGCCAACCAAAATAAACTGGCAGCTCTCTAATTACTCTGGCTGTGAGAAACAGGGGGACAATCAACTGAAGCTGATTTTTGGCCAAAATATTCAGAAAGCAATGAAACATAAAACTGAAGTTTCCACTGTCAGGTTCAACAAATTAATAGCTGTTCATATTTTAATCATAGGAGACACCACTGTGTCAGATGGTATGTGTTACGTGGCATGCAATTTCTGTTCTACAAAACATCCATGAATTACCTGATGAATCACAAAACTCTTTGTCCACTACTAGAAAAGATTCAGTCAGTTTGTGAAAACAATTACAGAATATATTACAAACTATTCTGGAATTCACCATAAGTAGCTTTCCCCTACCCAAACATATTATCATATAGTATTTGAAAGTCATTATTTAACCATGTGATCACAACCTAAAACAGAAGTTGGAGACAAACTGCTAATAGGGAAATAAAGAGCACAGATGAACCAAGCATAGGGTGAGCCTCACAAACTGTATCAGTGACCACTGTATTTACAACCCTGGAGCTGACAAGTGTGACTATTCAAACCGATGTTACATGACAGAAAACAATGGAAATAGCTTATTCAGCTGTGAATAGTCAACAATAAAGGTAGGCGTAACTCTATGTAAATAACTATATTCTTGAAATAACTCCAAGAGCTCAAACCTAACACTACCTCCTTTATTTGTAAGATGATTTCTTAAATCACTGCCATCAAGAGAACATGATTGCAACACACACACACAATTACCATGCATGTAATTCTCAGGATCTCAGATGTGGGTAGGCCTTTACTGAACCACCGGGAAAAATGGAAACTCAGTGCTGTGTGGGGTGTAGTTCCAAAAATTCAGGGTTGCATTTCCCACTAAAACAAAAATCCACGGAGGCATGGATCTTTCTTTCATTTATAGCAGCAGCATCTAGACTTGTCTTAAATAGGTGGTAAACACTATTCAATAAATACTATTTTCTGGATATTGTTAAATTATCTACTCTAACATACTTACTGTATCAGCAAGGGAAAAGATTCAGCAAGCTAGATTTGCCTAAAGTAACAAACTTAAATGGGCAAAGCCAAAACCAAAACTAATGTTTCTCAAACTATAGCAGTGCTCATTAATCTTTAATTAGAATTACCCAATTCCATCATTAGTAGCATAGTTATATAATATACTAAGTAAAGATTTTTTTCTGCTTATCAAAAAAAAAAACAAAACAATGCTGTTAACAACCAGCCTATTAGATAAGCATGTGATTCTGACACAATTATCATGTTGGCATTCTCCAATTGGGACTGATGAAAGTGTTTGTTATTATGACAGCTCCAGGAGAAAAAGCATGCATCATTGAACAAGCAATCAAGCAGAAAACTATCAATCAAGAGGACTATCAAGAGGACTATCAAAACTAACTATCAAGAGGACCAGTAATGTTTAGCAGAATATAATATTAAAGAAAACCACTCTTTATGTCCTTGTGTTTAAAGGAGGAAAAAAAAAAAAAGGAGGTAAATGCCAAGGTGCTGTCACTACAGTGGCTTAAACCACCTACCATACATTCTGCTGCTTAAACACTACACACACACACACACACACACACACACACACACACACACACACAGAGAGAGAGAGAGAGAGAGAGAGAGAGAGAGAGAGAGAGTGTCACATAACTTTACACACTCTTTAAGAACTTCAAGTAAAGGGTCTGTGCTAATGGTAGATCCAGGTGTTTCCTTACAATCTTAAGGGTCTGGGCAGTAGCCCATCTGGTTCATGCAACCCTTAAGCAAGAAACTAGATGGGAACTGCCAGCTGAGTGGATCCCTTCCTGTGCTGAGATTGCAAGCAATCATGCTCCGATTTCTCCTAGCAGAACATGAGAATTATTTAAGGAGCCAAGATTAACAAAGGGGGAAAATATATACATTTTAAACTTCAAAACTGGTGGTAGAAGGATAAGAGATTTTTGTTCCAATTATGTAAAACACAGAAACAAAACTGTCCTATAAATAACCATGAACATAAAAATACATTGATAATGTGTGGACAGTTCTAATTCAGCTGCTTTCTAGATGTAACAAAATTAGTGTTCATTTGCCATGTTCACAAGAAGAGGGTAAGAGATGTAAGCAGAGGATCTTGTTGATACCCACAACTGCTCACTTTCTTCATCTCCCCAAACAGTCCACAGCCAAAGCGAAGATTCTTTGAATACCCACTATCCTCCATTAAAGCATCAAATATGGAAAACCAAATACAGGAATGAGTCAGCAGCTACCTAATTATACTAGGGAACTACAGGGCCATGATTCTCAAGTATACAAAAAAAAAAAAAATTAAAGAGGAAAATAGATGGGAGGGACAGGGAAGGGAAAGATAAAGAGCCTGAAGAAGGAGTAATAAAAACAAGCCAACAAAATGGACTGCAAGAACTGATGTATATATAGTTCAGCGCAGAGAGCATGCAAGGGGGGAGGAGAGAAAGTAGGTTTGTTCCTCTTAAAGATGAGATGGTCTAGAAATGCTATGTTCTCTGTTCACTAAGTGCAAATACATTTCAAAGAACGAATTGGTCAGTGTATGGCATGTATTCGGTGAAGACAATCAAGTGATTTTTTTAAATAATCAGTGCTGCCTACCCTACCTGTGGCACATCAGACCTTGCTTGTTTATTTTTAAAGGGCAATTTCAAAACACATGACATACTATTTCTATAAAGATTTAAACTAACATCTGCTTGAAATTAAGCCCACACATCAAAAGATGTGAACTACAAAGCAGCCCTTTGCTAGTTCCAGGATAGGCAAGATCACATTTCATT